TGTCAACAGCCCAAGGTCCTTCAAATAGAGACATCTTACCCTCCACATTGACACAAGGAGATGATCTTGTGAGAAAACTGGCGTTATAAGTCCTGAGTCCTCTGTTCTTTGTTTTATTTATGAGAACATGGTTCCAACCAATAACCTCACATTCTGAGACTGCAGTACCTTCATCTTCTCCCTTTCTCTTGTCTCCGTCATGTCTCGAGGATAACCTTAGGTGTTTCAATTCACAAACTTGATTATGAATTCTGTCCTAGATGTGGCTGCAGAGAGGCAAGTAAAAGGTTAATTAGTGCCAGAGGACCTCAAGAAGGGAAGGAGAGAGTAAATCCTGACTGACCAGAGAAGGACCGAACACAACTCAAAACATTGACAGTAACAGCATAAGTGAAAACCGTGTGCAAAAAAATATTCAAATGTTTGCGTCACAGTGTAAAGAATTTTGGGATTCTTTTTGTTTGTGTCACAGTGTAAAGAATTTTGGGATTCTTATATCATTATTCACGGCGCCTAAAAGTTAACCCTCTGTACGTAATGGACAGATGCGGGGGCTTGATCAAAGATGGCTCTCAAGTAACCATTTCGCTGAAAAATGAAACAAAAAAAAAAACCAAATGTCATTCCTGTCTGAGTTTATTTGACAGAGTTTCAGGAGACCAAAAAGTAACTAGTCTGACAAGTTATTCACACTTTTGAACCAAAAAAATTGTTCTGTACAAAATGTTTTAGTGGTGATGTTTACTTATGTAATATACTTATGTTGAATATGACAGGTCCCAGCACAGTACCCTGTGGGACTCTGTGACTGTCTTTGATGTATACGATTGATGGTCCTTTAATGTTCTAGAAAAACTGCAAGTTTGTAGTTTGTAGCTTAATGTGAATAGGCCTTGATTTAAAATAAAATTATGAGGATTCACAATTTTTGACAAATTACTGCATGTCTAAGGAGAGAAAAGTAAAGCTTGGTGTTGCTTTTTGGTTTCCCAACCATGAATCTTTTCTGACATTGGAACAACATTGGAAGTATTTTATGTCTCCACTAAATCATAAAACAAAAATGCGTGATCATGCTTGACCTTACTTTTAAACTAAGTGCTTCTATTGAAGAAGTAAACATCGTCTAGTGACAGTGACATCCATTTGGAAGGAACTGAAGTAAACATCAAAGACCAGGGCGTTGTTGAAGGGGATGCATCAAGTTTGGGTTGATTAGGTCATGCTGTAGAAGCAGTGATCGGATTAAAAAAACAGTCCTTTTAGAATTCTCTGTAAATATTGCTTTGTCTGATTTGAGTTGCATACCAAATCAGAAGGCAACAAAAAACAATTAGAATAGAGAAATGTAAATGAGGGATGTTTAATTTTATGACTTACAAATAATTATGATTAATCACAATAAATTGTGAATAAATAATAAATAAATGAACATTGCTAAATGTGACATTTTCTGTATGTGGCTCGACAGAGAGCCCTTGTGTGCTTGTATTTCACACGTGTTTTAATAAGTGTCTAACCCAAATGGTGGAATTATTAAAATGAAAAATATACATATATATGTGTGTGTGTGTGTAAAAGTAAAATTTACTGTCAGACATTACTGAACATCCCTCTGCTCAGTGAGGCTGGACTTTAACAAGGCAACCCTGCTAATTACTCCTCCCACCGCATTGGAATTCATTTGATATATTTATATATAAAAAGCTGTGATAAACAAAACATCTACAAACAAAAATATTAGACTCATTCTTTCTGACACGTGAGTTCTTAAAACGCCAGCATGAATTTCAATAGAGTGGTAATCAGACAATACAGGTTTACCTATTAGCAAAGCTGAAGATGACAGTTTCAGTTCCTGTCTTCATTAGGATGAAAGTTCTTGTTAAGATGTTCTGTTTGGAACTTAGTTTGTACAAAATCGAGCTCTTTGTGTTTTGGTGATGATTCCTACATAAAAGCCACTGTGTTCTCCCCAAAGCAAATAATGAAAATGTAATTAAAAGTTTTCTTTTATGATGTAAAACTAGGCAAATTTATTTCCTTTTGTCTCTGTAACTTCTGTTTTATAACATTTCACAAAGACTTTTTTTAGACTTTGAAAACTACTGCCATCTTTATGTGATATTTATGTGGAAATGTGTTTGTATTAATTATTCCTATTCATATTCCTATTTTAAAGGGCATTCAGCTTCTACACCCTGGGTAAGTACACGTTTAAATCAATTGTGTTTCACTTGACACTCAAGTTCGCTGACAGATTACAAAGCATTACTGTGCCGTCACGGACCATTGCACCGGTCGTTAAACATGAGTCACTAAAAAAAAAAACTTTTTTTTTTCCTCAATGTGATACAGTATGAGTCAATGAATAAGTCACTGGGAGAACATTATTATGCAGTAATTACCCTGCTAAGATTGTATTTCTGTGGAGCTGGTCCCTAACGTAACAGTCCTTCATTGAACAAATAATTGTGCCTCCTTTTCCCTCCCCTGTAGAGGGCAATATAATCTAGTCCAGATAGTTCTGGGTTTGATTCTACCCAGTCCCCTGATCCAAGGCTGGTTTTCAACAACATGAGAATATAAATAATCAGCTATAAAGGTCGAGCAGATGATTTTGTTAATACTTTATGACAGAAAAACATAATTAACAAAAAGGTTTCATAAATTATCCTTAAACACTGCATTGACTAATTGAACCAGTTTGTGTTTCATTATTTACTTAAAAACAGATAGAATTAAACCAACAACAAACAGTCATGAATGATTGGGATTTTCTTCAACCACAATCACAGGTTATTATTTTCAAGCTATTATTTTCAATTTACTGAAACTTGCATGTCACACAGCCTTAGAAAGAAAAATGTTGATAATTCAGTGCAAAAGTTTTCAGACTCCTTTTTCCATTTTTCAGGACACAGATCGCTGGCTCCTGCTCTGACTCGCTGACAGGACCTCAAAACAGCCCTAGGAATCGAGCGTGATGAGTGCAAACACAGAGCGAAGCTCGGGTGTCAAAGGGTGACTCAGAAGGAGGGACCTGAGAAAAAAAGAGTTTCCCTGTGACTTCAGTGCAGTGTGTTACTTAATCTACTCACACCTAGATTCAAGACACAGTTCAACAATGGTGCAGATCTCTTGTTTTTCACCTTCTCAGGTGAAGAATCTGGACTACAGTGTTACAGCAGTGGCTGCTGCTGCTCTGAGAAACAGGGAAACCTTACTGTACTTTAGCATAGTGGTTCTTAAGTATTTTCTGTCATTTTGTGAGATTTCAGAGGAAGCTGAACTTGCCTCTGTGTCTCAGAGCTATCATCTCTAACCACATATGTCATCAGCCTCAGTGAAAGAACGAGACTTAACCTCAGAATAGTTTTGTAATTTAGCATTTTTTAAGTGGAAGGATTTTCAGTGGGATAAATTATTACCACTCTAAATGGACTGTTGAGAATAAAACACAGTCAAATTCAATTTTAATGAAGTCACTTTGATAAATGTGCATGAAATATAATCATATCATCCTTTCATATTAATACTGACCTAAAAACAGACCTTTTATTTCCGGACTTTATCTCACTGCGAGAGGTAAAAATTAGTTTCATCCTATGAAGCTGGGAATTAATTAAATGAACAGATGGTATCTGACTCTTGTCTAATAAACGCTAATATATTTGAATAATGGCAATACAAATAGTTTTTAATTTGGATATAAACACACATGTATATACGCTTACATATTTATGTATGCATATATGTTTGTCTATTTGTATATATCTTTTTATATATATACACAATGAGCCACATTCTAAAAAGAAGTAGAACATTAAACACTATGAGAGTCCTATTTTAAAATTAAATTATTATAATTATAATATATTAAATATTTCTACAGCAGCTAATGATCTATTATTTGCATTTTTTTTTTCAATATTTAAATGTTGCAGACTCTGTCACAGGAGTTGCAAACACCCCATCTGAACCAGTTTTGTTGGTGTTGAATCACCAGTGTTTATCTCAGTGATAGTCACCTTAAGGCACGCAGGGACATCCACAAACACCACCTGTTTAAAGGCTCTTTGTTCCCTTAATGTTAAAATGTGAGAACAACACACTCTTCTTCTTCTTCTTCTAGTTGGAATTTGCAGCGTTCATTGGTGTGCCTGTATTCACTGCTCACGTTGTTATGCCAAGAGATTTATCCCGGTGTATGTGTGTGTAATAATACACCATATATAATGAAAGGATAGAGTCATCTGTTCACCGTTGGAATGGACTGAAAGTGTTCAGATGGTATGTAATAGTATTTAAACTTAATATACTGTTGTCTAGTTTTTGTTTATTTTTCTGTAAATGCTTATGGTTGTAATGTACCCATTGTTGTGTGTTCTAAACAATATGTACTGCAGGGTGTTATATACTCCATACTGTAGCAGGGTTCTCAGAGTCAAATTAGTTTTCATTTCCGGAGGGACCCATTAGTCTTCACTTTCCAATGCAATACAATGCATATACATTATATAATGCACATATTATTATATATGTGTGTATGTGTGTGAATGTGTGTGTGTATGTGTGTGTATGTCAGGGGCCAGATATGGGGGTGGAAGTGGCAGATAAATATTTTCTAATTTATTAAAAGTAAAAGTAATGTGATAAAAATCCCCCCCAAAAATTCCACTGAACTGCTGGTATTGGGTAATGACGTGTGGTGGTGTGACATGTTGTTAAATTGAAATGAATTTCCTTTTAAACAGTTATTACACAATGAAGACTTTCCTGTGGAACTACAGTCGACTCTGTGATACAAATCAGTGAAGTCCCTGTGAGGTCACCGTTAAATTCAAAGCTAAAACAGACCTGCAGGTAACACCTGCCTCAGGTGAACTGATATATATATATATATATATATNTACAGCTTCAAAAATCCTAATGCTTTTGATGTGAGAAATTCATCAAAGCCTCTTTACATCTGTCATTATCTAGGTTGCCGTTGCTGTGACCTTTGTTCCCCAAGCGAGGGGTGTGGCCAAAGGACTCAAACAGGTTTATGGCTGCCTGTGAGCAAGTTTCGAACCAGCCCATTTGCATGTCAAAACTGGAATCCACACCCTCTACCTGCAGACTGCCACCATGCTCAGACACCTCCTTGTCTTTGTCTGTCTCACCCGGCAGACAGCAGCTGTTCCATGGTCCGAACACAGACTGTACATGCATAAATATCAAGTCGGGATCATCGTCGGGGGACGAAGGCCAGAGGATTTTCACCAAGTGTAAGTGAATTGTCCTTCAGTTGTTGTCAGAGACTCACTCTGCTCTGTGAGAACGGGAAGACACTCAGATTGACTCTGTGAGAACCCGGGCTGTCAGTAGAAGTGTAAATAAGTTGTGTTTGTTCAACTTTTTAAATGAATGGATTATTGGGGGATTAAATTAATTCATGGCCTCAGAAGTGGAACAGTGTTTTTGTGCTTCAGCTGAGGAAGTGTGGGAATTATGACTCTTGGAATTTACACTGTGGCTATAAAGTTGGAGATAACTGTTCAGATGTGGCAGAGCGGGCAGTTACAGGATGTTTAACATCACACACTTTGACAAATGACAGCTTGTTAATGTCGCAGTTAAAGCACCGTTTTGTGGAGAACGTTCACCTCAACTGCTCCGTTCACAGCTGTTGACTCTGGTGTTAAAACCACACTTTACCTGTTTCTCCACTGGCACAGACGCAGACATGCAGGTGTATTCTCCACGATCATCGACTCTAAAATGCATGATTTGAATCTCTATAGCTGACACTTGTTGCTGCCTGTCCCCCGCTAATGAACACAGCCGTAAACCTTCACATTTTCCTCTGACACAACAGGAGAATCACAGTCATATCACAGTCTTGATGTTTTGTCTCGAGGTCGGACGATTCAAATCAAATCTATAATCTATGTAGCGGTGCCTTAATCATAATTGAACATGTGTGAACATATGTTTGTACATATCTATAAGATGACATTTTTTGCCTGAACACCTTCACATATCTGACACTACAGGATTCCTTTCTACGCCAAGGTTAAACCAACCATCTTTGTGTCCTTCACCATGTTTGTGGACCTTCTGTGGGGTCATCTTTCAACATCCTTTGTCCAATGTTTACACTGTCTCTCCCAAGCATGTGTCCAAACCACCTCAACAATGTTTTTCTAATTCTCTCAATCCATTTTATTTGTTTCTCTAATTTTTTTGCTGAAGAACAGATTTATCTTGATAATAATAATCTGAAGTTAAATCCTTAAAGTAAAAACATTTTTGAAACACATGATACATTTGGTTAGAATTTGGTTAACATGTCAGATCTTGAGTTGGCATTTTTCTGCTCCCTCAGCAACGAAAGTACTCTTAATCTCTCAGATTATCAGGGCATTTTTGTGCTCAACCCTGTCCAGGTCACACCACATACCTTTCATGCTTTTGTTTCTGTGGCAGGCAACACAAAATTTCTGTTCATCATACGTTTTTTAACCCCCCACCCCCCACACACACACACACACACACACACACACACACACACACACACACACACACACACACACACACACACACACACGCACACACACAGAAGGTTTTGAGTCAAGTAAGATTATTATTTGTGATGTTCAGAATGTAGTCAGTTTGTAAACCGTAGACTCACCTGTTGATCAGTGTTGGGTGAGGCCGCTGTGACATTACCTGGGAGTCACACCTATAAATGTGAGATTGGATTTGAAGCTCAAGATTCCCCACAGTGTGTGTAAATAACAATCACTGCTCCCAGGAATACAGTAGGATCATTGGTTAAATTCATAGGATTTGATTGTGTATCTTTTTACATACAATGAAGCTGCTCTGCCACATCATAGACATCATTTTCAATTACATATAAATGCATTTTAATAGGATTGTGTTCACTTTTTTGAATGATCACCGTATGTTTTTAATGTATGACAGGTGCTGATGAAGCATCCTGGAGCAATGGACTCTCCAGAGTTCTCCTTGCTGTCGTCCTTGAGAGGAGAGTTTAAACCCGAGGATTATATTCAGCCCCACTACAAAGAGTCGTATCGCCAGGCCATCGATTGCCTGGTAAAAAACGGCAGAGACAGTTACCGGGAGTTCCTCAAGGGGGAGCGCATCGGGAGCTTCCTCTCAGAGGATGAACTGGTCTTTATCACTTCAAATGCTGAAACACCGCCGCCTCGAACACACACGGAGGACACCGATGGTCCATCAGACAACCAGTCATCCTCAGGGACCTACTGGCCGTTGCACTCGGACGTGGAAACACCTGATCTAGATTTAGGATGGCCGGACTTCCCTCACAACAATCTACAGACAAATATAGACCTGCTCTTTCACCCCCCGAGACAAAACAGCCCCACCATAAAAGAAGTGATACGGAAGCACATTCAAGACGCAAGACAGGTGACTGAAACTATCTGAAATACGTTGCTTAGTCTTGGTCCCTTCAGGCAGTTCCACACACTGTTATTCTTACCTGTATGAAGGAGTGTCTGTCAGGGCCACTGGAGACAAAATCTGGTTTTGCAACCTGTGGTCTTGGGAGAAAAGTCTGGGAAAAGCATAGACCTTGCCTTCTGATTCACACACTTGTATTGTAATTCATTTTGCTGCATCAGGATGTACACGTCCGTGCACTGTACAGCAGGGGTCACCAACGTGGTGCCCGGGATCACCTGGTAGCCCCCGTGGACTACCTAAGGTGTCAAAAGGGTCAACAATTGGACTGTTACTGTACTTTTGGAATCAGTTACACTTGCAATGATATTCAAATGGGTGCAATGACGATGGTAAGAAGAGTGTCTACTATTACATGTCCCAGAACTGATTATTATTACATTGTTCAGGAAGTCTGTATCAGACAAGTAGCTCTTTGAATTACTAAGTGCCCTTGAAGTAGCTCTCAGTTTCAAAACGGTTGGAGACCCCTGCTGTACAGTATACACCTTGGAATGAAACAGCATATTTGAAATAAAATTGACTAAAGTGTAGTGAAGGAGAAACAAATACAATTAAAAAGCAAATATAAAACTACTGGAACACAATATCACTGTGTTGTAACATCTCCTTTAAATAAAAAATGATATTGCTATAAACCATTCAGCTTGCATGGCCTACACGCCTGCTCTGGTCTTCAACCATCGTGACTGGTCGACTGTGTCTTCACAGGTTGTAGCTATTGCGATGGACACATTTACAGACGTCGACATATTCAAAGAAGTTATCGACGCGTCTGTCCGAGGAGTTCCAGTCTATGTGCTCCTGGATCATTTCCATCTGAAACATTTCCTCACCATGGCAGAAAATCAGGACGTGAAGATTCCACAACTGAGGGTGAGTTTGTACTTTAACATCTTGATTCTTCTTGAGTTTATTCAACTGTACTTACATGTATACAGCATATACAGTATGTTTATTTATATAGCTGCAGTTTTCACATTTCAATTTCAGGTTCCTCTTGTTTAGTGGGTGTGGTCATTCTACAGTCTTTAGCTGCACAGACACAAACTGGTGCACTCCTGTATAATTGTCACAGAGTGAGATCACATTAGCAACAGTAGCAACAACAGCAAACAACACTGGGCCTTGACATAAATATCATATTTGGAATCCCCACAGCAGTGCTGAGCAGGGTCTGCCCGCGGCTCCTCTGATGATTGACAGCTTCATTTTTACACTCTCATCTCAGTGATTTCAATAGTTTTTTTTTCTATTTGTTTCTTTTGTGTGGTTTGCACAGAACATGAGGGTGCGCACTGTGAAAGGTCAGGATTACCTCTGTCGGTCAGGAGCCAAATTTCACGGTGCAATGGAGCAGAAGTTTCTGTTGGTCGACTGCCACACAGCCATTTATGGCTCCTACAGGTAAATGAATGTGTAGAATAGGAAAAGCTGTGAAAAATGAAAAAAAAAAACATATATATAATATAAAAGATAATAAAAACATATCATATCATATCTTGTGCAAATTCTTATTTTTTATGTACTATTTCCTTCAAAATAAAGTATACATTTGTCATATCTTGTGCAAATTCTTTTTTTTTATGTAGTATTTCCTTCAAAATAAAGTATACATTTCCTTTGTTGCTTTCAGCTTCACTTGGTCTTTTGAAAAGATCAATCTGAGCATGGTGCAGGTCATCAAAGGCCATCTGGTGAAGCTTTACGATGAAGAATTCCGGACCCTCTATGCCCGATCGACCGTGCCAGCTCAACTGTGTCCTCCAGAGGGCTCGTTCCAACACAACGGTCCACAGGGGCGACAGGTTTTGCCCAAGTTACATTCTGGCCAGAAATTGGAGAGGAATGACTTGTTGAGGCACACATTGGACAACGTGTTTCGAAAAACCTGTGACAGAAAACTGGGCTTGATGAACCTTGAAGAGAAGCTTCTGGAAGAGGAACCTAATGGCATCCGGCCTTTGGTTGAAAATGGCATAAAAGGCAAGCAAGAATTACACATGGTACAGTGTTCGGAGATGATGAATCTCCAGAAGAGACACAGCTACGCTGGTGAGAGACAGGATTCATGCGTGCCACAGAACATCAGGTCCAGAGCCAGTCACTGGAATATTTCCAGAGATACAGGAACTGGACCAAACAACCCAAATATGGACGTTTATTTACAGGTGCCTCATACTTACAGAGGCCAGAACATGTGTCAGTCGTACAACGACAGCGATAAACCCATTTTGTCCATTCAGCAGAATGTGCCGACACTGGAGAATACTTCAAAGTCTTTTATGCGCAATTGGCGGATTGAGTCTTACCTCAAAAACTCAGATGACCCATTTCAAGAGTCGACCGATTATTTAGATCAGATTGAACAGATGGACAAACATGGTTCATTCATGCAGAGTAGGACGAGGTCTTCGTTTGGTTTTAGACCCAGCATACCAGAGCACATGGAGCCAAAGAGACACATGAACTTGTCTGCTGACATTGTGCCCCAGCCGGCAACACACACTCCTTTGCACTACACCTCCATGCAGTGGAGTCCAACAGCAGCAGGAGACAGCAGAGCAAACGAGGAGTTTATGTTGAAGAGGCAGAGTTTGCAGATCTTGGACGACAACCATTACGATGCCTACTTCGGTCCAGGGAGAAACTCCCATCAAACATTTTATGCCAGCTTAGGCAGGAATAAAGGTGGACACATGATGACCAACCCTGACCTCCTGACGGATGGTTGGCAAAAACGGCACAGTTTAGCAGACCCAAGATCCAACACTGAGTATGCACCCGAACCCTCAGGACACATGTACGGGGCTTTTGCAAGGATGCAAATAAACAGGAACGCGGCAGGGTTCAACGCACGCAACGATGGACATCTGTTGAGTCTGAACGAAGACCAAAGATCTGTCTCTCATTTTGATGTCATGAATATGACAAGTAAAAATTGGCAAGAAACTCCATCCAGGACTTTGTCTGCAGCAGCACTGGAGGAGAATAGCAAGGATTTGACAGGAAAACCCAACAGTTCCCAAAATTACTCAAAGAAACTCGCCACTAGAATTAATTCCCTAATAAACATTCCGGAAAACAAAGAAGACTCATTTGGAACCACGGGAACACCGAGTCTCAAGTCAACAGGAAGCACAGACACAATAACAGCGGAGGATGAGGAGAAGGCATCGGTGGAAGTTGAAAACCCTCGACCAAACAGGTCTTACTTAGTCCGATCTGCCTCTGAGCACCAAGACCACAGGCATAAGATTGAGCAAAACTCCAAATCTCACTTGACGTCAGACGAGCCCCGACACACCAGGCAACTTTCTCTTCCCAAAACGTCCCGATACAAAAAGCCCACCCTGCTGGACAAAAGTCCAAAGCCTTCATTTGACACAGGCAGCCTGAAGCGGAACAAGGCGGCAGAGAGTCGACTGTACAGCAGGTTTGAGGGCACGTTACACAACACACATACTCAGGACAAACACTTCACTAAAACTGACGCAAGTGCCGGGCCACACCTCGGCAGGACTTTACGTGGGCACCATGAAAATAAACTGGAGAAATTCTTTCAGAGAGTCGGGAATTTTATTCACAAGAACAAGTAGCCGAGAGTCTGGTCAAGTAAATCTGCGAATGTGAATTCACCCCACTGTTCGTTTACCGGATGTTGAGTGATCGACAGCCTCAATGACTTCCTTGATGGAATATTTTTCTTAGCGGGAACTTTTGTTTACATTTGACCTCTGCTTTATTGACACGTGCACTGATGAATACCAAAAGAGTATATTTACTGTGACTACATACAGTACCAAAACCTGAAGAGTCAGAACATTTTGGGCAGTTTTAGTCACTTTTATCACAGATTATCATGTATACCAGATACGTCCACAGGGGGCACTGGTGGCACTTGGTTAGGATTGTGATGTGGCCCACAACTCCATCTTTAATTTATTAATATTTTCAGTGGTACACCAACTTCTTTTCAG